ATGATATCAAATTTGTTAACGTCCATGAAACGGTTAATTTTTTATCAAGCAGTTCTCAGAACTTTCTAAAGTGTCCCTTGTAAAGAACGAATTTTTATCCCATGGTTACCCCTTTTTATTTATAAATGTCCCGTGGATATGACTCATTGGATATTTTTTTTAATATCCCACAGTTCAGTTGTGATATAACAATGGTTTTGCGTTAGCGTGATGAAGTAAAATAAAATGAACTCCAATAAAAAAAAAGTGTAAAATATTGGTTGTGAAGTATTAAACATGGGATAAAAAGAATCTCCATTGAGTTGAAGTTGGATATGACTTTTACCCAACTCATTGTGTGTTTTTAGGGATAAAAACACAAATTGTTGGATAAAAATCATATTCAACTACAAATCATGGGATATCCTATATATTCAGAGAAAATACGAGTAATAAAATGTTTTTGTGTACCAACAACAAATCATGGATATTCTATATATATCTAGAGAAAATACAGATCTTCTCCATGTCTCTTTTGGTCTTTCTCTTTCTCTCTTGCCAGTTCTAGAGTCGCGAGATAAGGAGTCAATCCTCAAGTCGCGGGTTCGAATCCTAATGTGGGACGTGGCGACTGGTCCTTCGGAATAGACCGTATAAACCGAGGCGACCTACTGTCGCAGTAAGTGCTGGCACGAAAAAGATCCCTTCCTGCTCAATGGCCCTGAGTGCCGAGCATAAGACAAAATTTCGGCTCCACCGGCAAGTGGTGGCGTATCCATATGATTGAAAAATTCTCAAGAGGGACGTTAAACAACATACAATCAATCAATCAATCTTGCCAGTTGATGCCCATCTCAATGCAACCCTTGGGATGGAGGTTGGGTGCATTCTTTTTATATATGTCCTATCCACGGCCATTTTCATTTCTTAAAAACTTTGAAAAGAGGAGTGGTGTTAGTCTTTTTGTACAACTCTTCATTTGAGACGGTATTAGGCCAGAAGATGCGTAGTATTCTGCGAAGGCAACGTGTCTGGAAGGCATCTAACTTGTTTGAAATGATTTTTGTAACTTTCCATGCCTCACCACCATAAAGGAGGACCCCAAGCACGTTGCTCTTGAAGATCCTTATTTTGGTATTTATGCATTTATGACCTTTGCTGACTTCCGGATGTTTCGTAGTGCAACATACGCTCCTGTGGCTTTAGAAATCCCAGCTTGCACATCTACCTCAGAGTTCCCATCTGTGGTGATCTTGCTCCCTAGATAGACAAATTCTGTGACATCTTATGATTTAGTATTGATCTTCATGATCTTAGTCTTGGTGTTGTTAATTTTCAGGACAATTTTCCTTGCTGCTTCTGCTAGTCGGTTAAGAATATTATCATTAAATTCGACCTACAGATCATGAATTCTCAGATTATGTGCTAAATTATCATATTTAAACTTTGAATTTGAATGAATGAAATTGGAATTTTTCAGAGTGCTCAAAAAAACTAGAAAATGGCACGATCAATGAGAACGTAAATAAAGCGTTTATGCCTGGGGAATCCTTGACAGGAAGTTGTAATGAGGACTTTGTTGCAGTGTCTGGAAAAGTTACCATAACCTGCAACTCTGCGTATCGGACTGTTGCTTCCGATGCATGCCGTCAAGGTAGTAAACATATGCTTTCCATGCCTGACTGTTTTGCTCCTTATGTACCGGTATACTTTGTACATGGTCTATTACTTTTTAGTTCTAAAGCTGGCATTTGAAGGGTGCATAAAAATCATGAATTATATATTTGATTTCTTTTCTTTAGTCCTTAAAACCATTGCAGTTGACAAGCCGACAGAACAATCATCTACTTTTCAATGGTATAATTCTAGCCTTGCAGTGGATGGAAATAGAGACACGGACATTGACGCTAACTCGTGTAGCCATACAAATGACGATGATGACCAACCTTGGTGGAGAGTTGACCTTCTGAACTTTTATTATATCATAAATGTTAGAATGGTCAACCGGGGAGAGGATAGATACGAAATTGGTACGTATTAAATTATTTTGTTATAATTACATTTTGGGATATTGAATGGGTATTCATATATTTATACAACTGCAGCTTCAAATTGATATTTAGGAAAACCTAGTCTCAGAATACAGATTAGAACAAAAAAAGTTACGAAGTTTTTTTTCACTTTGTATTCGATGAAAATATTTGGAAAATTGCCAGTTACTTATTTTTTTTAATCATCATGTGTTTAATCATTTTATGACACTTAAGTAAGTAAATATTATCAGATGACATTTTCTTCTGCAGATACGTCTTATCGCCTTCGTAACGTTACCATTACAACCGGAGAAACCTTGTCGAATATTTCCACACTCTGTGGGTTCTATGCTGGCCCTGGTTCCCTTGGTGAGCTAGTCACCATTAACTGCCCGCCCTCCACCACTGGGCGCTACGTCAAAATCTCTTTGGTCACTGCTGTGCTGACTCTTTGTGAGGTGGACGTCTTTGTTGTTCCAATTTAAAAGAGAAGACACGATGAACGTTTTGAATTACACAATATAAGTTTAAATTTTATTCCTCTTGTATTTAGTATTCTGATGTTTAGTAAATGTGTAGTCTCATGAATTAAGTCATGGCTATGTTGTGCATTTGTTTTTGATCCGGGTATTTTGTATACTGTATATAAGGAGATTACAAATAAGTTAATAAAACAAAGACATCAACATCTCGTTGAAAGTCCACATTTTGCAAATTCTATACTCGAAGCAATGATCGAATAAAATACAATCAAACATTAAGTAGAATACTAACTGACTTTAGTAACTAATTGTAAGGCCATTATTTAAACACTGCATTGTCTAAATAGTTTGAAAATAATACATTCTCTTTTATATTATATATATATGTTACAGTGGCACAATTAATATCCGGATGCTTCCTGTATCCAACCGTATCTGGGAACATATGTTTTTTTAATTCATTTTGTCTTGTTTAACTGGTGATTGCTATTAATTACCTCCACATTACATTTTACAGTATCATTAAGGTATAATTTGAAAATAATACATTCTCTTTTATATTATATATCTATTACACATCTTTTATATACCTTGGTATCTTTTTAAAAAAAATGCACTTCAAGATAATTAAGGAAAGGCATCTAAAGGCCCTGTCACATCAAGCTGCGTCCACATGGAGTCATTACGGTGTTGTAAAATATTAAGAATCGCCGTGGAATCGCAGACAAATTGCACAATTTTCTGTAAACATTTTCACAATGTAAAGATGTCACGGTGTCCCTCAGCTACCGACGCGTTTCTAAGGCGTTTTCATTGCGTTCTACTGCGTTTCCACGGAGATCTCTTGGCGATTGACTGCGCTTCCGTGGAGTTTTGCACGACGTGTTAGGAGTTTTAACCTCGCTTTTATGGCGTTCTCACTGCGCTGGCTGCGTTTGCAATACGTTCAAAATGCGTTCTTCACCCATTGATTTTTATTTAAAGATTCAAGGTACATGATGAAAAGACTTCTATTCATGCCAAGAAATATAACTCTTAATTAAAAACGATCTATTTGAATAACTTAGTAATTATCAAAATCCTTCTTTTTTTCAATATCATCGATTCAGACGTGTTAATATAATTATGAAAATAAAAATAATAAACACACAGAAAAGTTGCTACAAAGTTTTAGTTACTCCACCGCAACTCCACTGAAACAACAGAACAAGTTCTGGTGTAATTTTAATTTCCCCTCCCAATTTTACTTTAATGCTCCTAGTGCAACAAATACTTTAGAATTATTGCTGATCAGATATGAGTTCATTGCTCTTGTTTTGTGAGCTGGCGTACAACGCCGTGAAAGCGCATTGTGGTCGCCAACGGACGCTGTAGAAACGCCAAGTGAACGCAACGATCGCAGTGACAACTCCGTGTTGTCGTTGTGTAATCGCAGTCAATAAAATAACAAGACGATTAATCTCATTACAAGTGCCGTATAAACACAATAGAAACGCAGTGACTACGCAAGAACTTTGAGACGTCTCCGTAAGGTCTCCGTGGAAGCGCAGTCTACTATCACTGCTTTCATGCTGCTATCATATGTGCGTCATCACGGCGTTCGTATGGAGCTCCCACTGCGTTGTTGGAGATCTCACCGTGCTGCAACGGCGGTCATACTACGTTTCTACTGCGTTCTTATCAGACCGTGATCACACGGCGCGTACTTTGTGCATGCCGCAAGTGATCGCCGTCCCCTGGCGTTCTAGGATACCCTTTGCGACCCTACCGCAATCAGTGGAGATCTTGTCGCGTTGTCACGGCGCTGTAGGAGAATCTACTGCGATCATCTCGGCGTTTTGGATTTTTTATGGACGTCGTGCAATCCCGTGAGGACGCAATCCCGGTGTTACAGGGGTTTATAACGACCTCAAGGGACTTCACAATTTATAAACTACGAATTTGGTTTTAATTGTTTTCGATATGCAAAAACGCCTGATCATGTGACCAATTTCGTGTCATCAAAAATTAAATATCAATGTTGTCATCTCTTTTATTTGAAAAATTGCACCTTCGATAATAAAGGAAACGTAGCTAACGACCTATGACGTCACATTTTACATTCTACAATATACAATGTTTTATTTTAAATATCAAAAGTGTCACGGTTATATCCACAGTTTTCTTTTATTCAACCTAAATCAATCTATAATAGAGTTCTGATCTATCAACCATGTCTTTATCCAAGTCATCTTGTTCACGTTCAATAATGAACTGTAAAGACTTGACGTCAACGCCATCGTTGATAAGAGCTGTGCGATTAATGAAGATGGAAGATATTTGGTCATCCAATGAAGAACCTTCAAACATATGGGCCGGGAAGAAATACAAGGCAGATAATCCACTTGTTTCCTCGAATCCATTTGGTGTCATTTTTCCAACTGATCCTTCAAATTTGCGCCTGCAGTTGCAGTTTCTTACGGTAATTTTATATGTGGAAGATGTCTCAGATTCCCGCTTTTCCACTTGAAACTGGCAATCATTAAACTTAAAAATTGTTTGTTTTTCTATGGTTGCAAAAGGAGCATACTGCATTCTGAAGCTTTCGGGTTCTGATTTCAGCCACACCGGTGGTATCAGGAAGGTTTTGGGCTTACCTTTTAGGCTTGCTTTGTATAGCGCTGTATCACCATCGCTGTCATTAGTTACTAAAAAAAAAGAATGCTATTTATAGAACCTAATCATCTAGACAGACAGACAGACAGACACAGAGAGGGGGGATACAGACCTAGTTCCCATTTCGAGTTCTTTCTCCAGTTAGAAAACAAACCGCCTTCATATGTTTCCATTTCTGTATTTCTAGGTGCTCTGATCATGGTAGAATAGTAAACAAACTTTTCGTCGGTTGATTTCTGAATTGATATGATCTGAAAGGTTGATTTCCCCATCTTTCTTTCAACAGTCCATTGATCCTGCAGACAAAATATGATTTTTGTTGAACCTTAAAATTAACAAAGTTGAAGTTATTTGATTCTCGTATGTGTTCAAATTATAACTTTTTAAAGTGATTTTCATTCATCAATGGCTATGTAACCCCATGTTTTAAACTGCCTCTTTTAAATTTCTCACCCAGTGACATTAAATCTTTAAAATCCAATCCTGAAGAAAAGAAATTCTGCAATACTAGTTATAATAATTATCGAAGATTTAATTTTTTTAAAAATCTTACCGAACCAGAGGCTGATAAAAACGTCTTGAAATTCAGAAAGACAAAGCAAACGGTTGTTACAAAACTCATGATTAAATTCAGTCGATGAAAGCCTTCATGAATAAATGAATACATACTTTTACCAAAAATTTTTGTTCCATTTATACCACATAAAATGAAATTATAATTTATATACAATTTGCAGTTAATACAATTAATGATGTTGAACTTTATATAGCGAGGTAACTATTCATGGAATGAAACCCAATTATATAGAATACATATGCAAGTGCTTACAAGCAACCTACGACAAATACACTCATTATTGTAATCTGTTAAATCTCTCTCATTCCAGAACAATATGCATCGAGCAGCATCATTTGACCTTGAATGCATTAAAGTACGATCAATGTTTGTTAAATAAATATTTAAGCACTTGGCTCTCACACTCTATATATACGCTTAGAGCTGTGTTTTTTTTAGAACCATACTTGTCAGCATGAAGAAAAAATAAGTCAAAGCAAGAATATCAAGCACATTAATATACGCGGGGTGATCAAAAAGTTCGCGAACTATCTCAATATCTACAAAACCAAAATTCGGATTAGAAAAAAAAAAGGTATACACATAGCCAAACACAATTTCTATAAATAGCATATGCTGAATAAGGTTTTGCTCCTTGTTTGTGACGTCACAATGTGAAATTAACGTCACTATGCAGGTCACTTGTGACGAAAAATGGTTGCCTCAGTCGAATTCGTTCAACAAACGGCTGTAAAGTTTATTGTGTATCTTAGAAATCCCTTTGAAGTAGAGCATATAATAATTTGTACACAGTTTATTAAGACAAATGACTTCCTATAAATTCAATCAATGAGTGGATTGATCGTTTTAGTTAAGGAAGGCAGATGGTTAAAAATGATACTTGTTATGTTGCCCAGTGAATGCAAGTTTGAAAAGAGATGTGTTTTTAATTAAGGTCAAGATCTAGTAAATGTCTTTAGACTACCTTTTTGGTGCTAAATCCATTATGACGTCATAATCACTTTCAACTTTCTTTTTCCCGTACTTTACTGCTCTAATAGAATTATGTAGAAAATAAAGTATTTTCAGGGAATTCAATTTGAAATTACATGTACATGAAAAATAGCCGATACCTATATTAAAATTGACATTATTCAAAAGAAGAGGCCAAGAACACATAAATTACCGTTTTCTGAGGGACTGTAGGCAATCTGGATAAATTTTCTTTGTCTGATATAGAAATAAGTCCTATATTCATGACATAATTTCTTAATCTTTCATTGAAAATGACAGTTAAAATTATGATTTTTCATCTTGTTTACCTACATTCTATGCCCCGAAACACCTTATTTGAACAAGCTAAATTTAGAAGGCATCATTAAAGGAATTTATTTCTCAAATTTGAGGAATCTGTAGGCACCTTTCATTTACTAGATCTTGACCTTAAGGAATTTGCTATCAAAGACCTCCAATTTACACTTTGAAAAATAGTTGAATATTTCAACAATAATATTTTTATCAAATACATAAGATATCGTTTACTTTAGATCTTGAACATATTAGATGTGATAAAAAAGGAGGCACCCATTCTCTATCCACCTTGAACAAACGTCTCTCGCGAGACGGAAGATTTGGGTTTTGATGGTCGCCATGCTTACTTTTGGAAGGGATATTCTTATCCACCCATTCTGTTGCCGAGATTTGACCATTCCTGACAAATAAGCTGTTCTTGTTATAAAAATTAACTTACATGGAAAGAAATATAAAACTCAGAAAAATCTTTTCAGCTTTTGTGATAGAACGCTACTGAGGGGGTCACGGGACTGCCTATATTACGTGATTTGCGCATGAGCAGAACGGTGACAGATGAGCATTAAAAGAAGAGAGGACTAATTTAAAATATAATCAACATTGAAACCGAATATTGTTTCTTTTATGAAAGTTATTCAATTAGTTCGCAAACTTTTTGATCACCCCTCGTACTTAAGTCTTATTTTTTATTCTTATAACCATCACTACGTGCCCCTATAACATTTCTTGTTCAGTAGTATACTAGGAACATTTCTTGTTCAGTAGTATACGAGGAACATTACTTGTTCAGTAGTATACGAGGAACATTTCTTGTTCAGTAGTATACTAGGAGTTAGTAAAAAGTCCGTAAACAAGTGCTATATAATTAAAACTTTAGTCAGAAGTACTTCAAAGAATTTACAACATTGTTAACATCTCTTATATATTGAAAGGAAAAAAGAAACCCATATTAAACTTTTGAATTAAATTGAAACTATTATTTCGAATATTTTTTCCAGTATGTTTATCATACATTTTAATTCATCTTTCATCAGCAAGTTTCCAAAATCTTGTGTGACTTTGACTGATAATTCCTGAGTTATTGAAATTGATATATTGATACCCCCCAAAATAAAAATAAAAATTCTCATAATCTCCCGTGTGCAGCAGTAATAGACTTGATTTTCCTGTGCATTGAGTTCACCAGAGCATTTTTCTTACTCATAGGATTATTATTCAACCCTTCCGACGGTAGTCAAAATGGAGAGTAGTTGTATTATTCCAAAGCCAACAAAGGCCCCCGCCCAATGAATCCCACGAATTTTCAATTTAGGATAGAATGTTCAGAATCCAGCTGATTTGGTACACGTAAATATTTGTGAGAAAGTCTCAACAAACGCTAGCTACAATTTCCCAGTGTTAACATGCAAAAAAACATTACGCAAACGACGCGTACGTACGCGTGTGAGAGTAAAATCGACATAAATGCCAAGCTCGCGGACCTTAGAGCAGGAGTTTCTGTCAATTTTAGGATGAAAAAAATGTGTATGATTGTCTGATGTATAAATATCGGTTTCAGTGATAACGCCTTGACAATAACCGAGGTGGCATGATGAAAAACCCAATCTTGATGTGATGTTGTTACGCACCAACGTCACCGTCATAGTTGGTTGGAAACCTTTTAAGTTACTCTCTGACAACCGAAAAAAAAATTTTGGTTGTAAAAATTGAAAACAATCTGCACAGCAACATGTTGTTGCCTTTTTATTCACGTATGCACTTCAATTACTAGACCGAATCTAACTTCCGTCAGCCATACCATGATTGCAAGAAATTTATACTGACTGCAAATATTTTTTAAAAAGTTCTATAACTCTAATGCATCGGTTAGCACTACAAAATGTGATCACAAAATTAGCATCATCAACATGCACGTGTTTTTAGATTTTTATCTCTTCCCCTACTTTACGCCATACATTTCATGGTTGAGTAGTTTTGACCAGCGATTTTAGTGCAAAGTAACCAAAATACGCATCTGACCAATTTTCATAATTTTCGGCCACATAGTCAAAAAAAATTTCGCATATTTTGTTCTTATGCGTTTCCTTTTTCCTTTCAGTATATTTAAAAGTAAGGAAAATTATATATGCATCTGAGAAGGTATAGTTTGCGAATATGCAATAAAGTCAGGACAAATGAACCAACAACACCATACACTATTACATCTACTAAATAAGTACAGTTCAAAGACAAAAATTTAAGCACTAAAACACTTAATATCACCGGAGATGCAAACAATAAAACTTGATGATTCGGCAAAATTGTAAAAACAGAAGACTGCAGAACATCTAGCTCTTCTTTTTTACAGCTGACATAAAATTTGATGGCACAAAAATGATCGATCCCTCATTAATCAAAGGCCATCACAGGCGTAAATTTGACACCCCCATGGGCAAGTTGTAGCGTCTCAATGTGAGAGGAGTATTCCTGAAAGTACGCGAAAACAAGCAAACAGTAAAAAAAAATAAGATTTTTAAACTTGTTGATTAAAGATGTGTCTGAATGTCAAATAAACATATATTCGAAAAATACATTCAAGAAAATTAGAATCAAATCACATCAAAAGTGAACATTGCATTTTTTTCTTTCAGAGTATCTGAAAATCAATTCTCATAGCACTACAACTATGTTGGCAATGATTGTCAAGTTATTTTGATGATTGCCTTCACAAGATATGAATATCTAAGAGTTTAATTTTTATTGAAGAAGCATTTGTCTATGATATATATTAAAAGATAGTCTTTATCAGATAAAGTATAAAAGAATTCAGCGTATTTGATATTACTGGCCTATGAAATTTCTGATTAATTTAAGGTTTCTAATAGGTCTTAGAATGTTTTAGAATTACATGTACGTCACTTGTAGAAAATACTGGAGTACTCTATGTCTATCTTATAAGAAGTGTCAAAGATCAACTTCCATTCCCTGTTCTATTAATGATGCAATACAATACATGCTTCAACAACTTCAACTAATGCTTTAACGTAATACATGTATGATTATCAGATTCTAAAACTTTGAAGTTGAAGAATTTTAAATTTCAAAGTAAACCGACTCAACTGTAAAAGACATTGCTTTTCGCAAAAGACCATTGGGAAATATATCAAATCTATAAAAAAAATGTTTTGGAAGCACGATCAAAAGCATCCGCTATATTTTTTTTACTTAAAAAATGATAAACAGAAATATTTTAGGATTAAAATCTATAAGTCTCCGAGCATTTTTAGAAACTTTTATGATTTTTTTTTTTTCGATTACGCTACATATGTTCTTCTTTTTTATTTCAATTTTTAAAAAAATACATTTTGATAAAAGTTTGTTGTATCATTGCAAGACATCTCATATATCAAATCTTTACTTCATATCACGCTAATAAGCATTGCTGTCAAGAGCTAGGTTAAAGAAAATTCGATAAAATGAAATACTTTGCGTTTAAAAATTTAAACTTGAAGTATTCCTCTAGTTAATGTAAGTCATATTTTACTTTCCAATCTTAATTTTCATTTGATTGTACAATCGTAAGACCGATGGCTTGCAAAAATATCATTAACAATTATTAAATGAAATATGGAAGATTAATATATGTTTTAACATCAATTATTCATATCCTCAAACAGAACTAGTTAGAGCTCTACAATATTTTACATGGATATTTTTTTTTATCGCAATCAAAGCAATGAAATTACACAACCCATGTACGCAACTCTTCATCCTTAAAAAAATAAACACCGAGAAAACGTTATTTTC